CTGTGAAAGGAAATGCTGCCACAGTTTCTAGCATAAGCAAATGCTGCCACAGTTTCTCGAAAACTGACATGCCAGGGCAACGTTGGCGACAGCTCGCTTTTCAAATAATCGCTGCAGACTTATGACAACAGAAACTCACTGCTTGTGGGACATGATGCGTACGAATAACCTTGCGAAGCTAGAAGAGAACAAAAGTGATCAGGAACAGACGATTCCCTTTGGGCATACCTCAGAGGGTTTTGAGTCCGAAGGACAGAGACAGTATAGCCGTGCGGAACGCGTTTCCGTTCTTGCGTGCAGCTCCCTACAGTCTTTGGAACTCCTGCAGTCACTGCAGCCCTGCATTCCCTGCAGACCTTGTAGTCCGTGCAGTCCTGCAGCCCCTGCAGTCCCTGCAGCCCCTGCAGTCCCTGCAGCCCCTGCAGTCCACGCAGACTTTGCAGCCCCTGCAGCCCCTGCAGTCCCTGCAGCGCCTGCAGTTCCTGCAGTTTTGTCAGTTCTTGCAGCGCCTGCAGTCACTGCAAACCCTACAGTCCCTGCAGCTCCTAGCAGTCTTTGTAACCCCCTCCAGCCCCTGCAGTCTTTGCAGCCGCTGCAGTCCCTGCAACCCCTGCAGTCCCCGCAGACTTTGCAGCCCCTGCAGCCCCTGCAGTCCCTGCAGCGCCTGCAGTTCCTGCAGTTTTGTCAGTTCTTGCAGCCCCTGCAGTCACTGCAGACCCTACAGTCCCTGCAGCTCCTAGCAGTCTTTGTAACCCCCATCCAGCCCCTGCAGTCTTTGCAGCCCCTGCAGTCCCTGCAGCCCTGCAGTCCCTGCAGCCCCTGCAATCCCCGCAGTCTTTGCAGCCCCTGCAGCCCCTGCAGTCCCTGCAGCGCCTGCAGTTCCTGCAGTTTTGTCAGTTCTTGCAGCGCCTGCAGTCACTGCAAACCCTACAGTCCCTGCAGCTCCTAGCAGTCTTTGTAACCCCCTCCAGCCCCTGCAGTCTTTGCAGCCGCTGCAGTCCCTGCAACCCCTGCAGTCCCCGCAGACTTTGCAGCCCCTGCAGCCCCTGCAGTCCCTGCAGCGCCGCAGCGCCTGCAGTTCCTGCAGTTTTGTCAGTTCTTGCAGTGCCTGCAGTGACTGCAAACCCTACAGACCCTGCAGCTCCTAGCAGTCTTTGCAGCCCCTGCAGTCCCCGCAGTTTTTGCAGCCCCTGCAGCCCCTGCAGTCCCTGCAGCGCCTGCAGTTCCTGCAGTTTTGTTAGTTCTTGCAGCCCCTGCAGTCACTGCAGACCCTACAGTCCCTGCAGCTCCTAGCAGTCTTTGTAACCCCCATCCAGCCCCTGCAGTCTTTGCAGCCCCTGCAGTCCCTGCAGCCCCTGCAGTCCCTGCAGCCCCTGCAGTCCCTGCAGCCCCTGCAGTCCCCGCAGTCTTTGCAACCCCTGCAGTTCCTGCAGTTTTGTCAGTTCTTGCAGCCCCTGCAGTCACTGCAGACCCTACAGTCCCTGCAGCTCCTAGCAGTCTTTGTAACCCCCATCCAGCCCCTGCAGTCTTTGCAGCCCCTGCAGTCCCTGCAGCCCCTGCAGTCCCTGCAGCCCCTGCAGTCCCCGCAGTCTTTGCAGCCCCTGCAGCCCCCTGTAGTCCCTGCAGTGCCTGCAGTTCCTGCAGTTTTGTCAGTTCTTGCAGCCCCTGCAGTCACTGCAGACCCTACAGTCCCTGCAGCTCCTAGCAGTCTTTGTAACCCCCATCCAGCCCCTGCAGTCTTTGCAGCCCCTGCAGTCCCTGCAGCCCCTGCAGTCCCTGCAGCCCCTGCAGTCCCCGCAGTCTTTGCAGCCCCTGCAGCCCCTGCAGTCCCTGCAGCGCCTGCAGTTCCTGCAGCTTTGTCAGTTCTCGCAGCCCCGGCAGGCACTGCAGACCCTACAGTCCATGCAGCTCCTAGTAGTCTTTGTAACCCCACTTGGTTCTTTCGGGAGTTCCTCGACTGTGTTCTTTCAACTTTCATCGTGGCGATGGCGTTTCGCTTCAAGATGGCATGGAGCAGTTGCTTTCAAGTGGGTCAGTGAGTCATTTGATTGTATCGAAACTATGGACCTGCTGCACCCTATACGCATCCGAGAAGTTCATAGGGTAAAAGCGGCAACTCAGACATGACATCCCCAAGCGCGCAACAAAAATCTGACCAGCGACGCCGTCCAAATGTGCAGACTCTCACCCATTTGCTGCAGACGTCCGTTTGCAAGCAAGATTGTGAACTCGTTGCACGCGCCATTCTGGCGCTTGCAGCCGCGGAGCTGGGTCTCCCAACGCCCTATGGTTGAAGCGGCGGAATTGACACCCTGAAACTGCAAGGCCACAAGATTTTTACTCGCTGTCTAATCTAACCTCGATAGGTGATAGGTCGTGAGCCGTCTTGGTCGCCACCGTCCCTCCGCCCACACCCCGCCCTTCCAAATCCATCACAGCCCCGTTGCAGCCCCTCGAGTGTGCTGAGTGCGCAATGTTACATGGCCATCCTTCCATGTGAGTATTGCCAGCTCTTCGTGGGCTGCATCGCACCACGCCGCCCAGTCGTGCAGGAATGTGCTCTCTGTGCCAAGCACCGGGGATTGGTTAGCTTTTGCCTAGCACAGACTTTGCTGGATGCCTTTCACGCGTACAGAATTCGCATCGTAGACCAGAACATCAACAAATCCTCACGATGCCCCGGAGCGACAGCTGATTCCCTTGTGTAGATGGAGAGCATCCCACACGGATGATGGCAGACAATAGCAGACAATTCAATCAACACAGGCGCCTGCATGCGCTCCCCTTATTGAGATGCTAGTGCCGCTGTCCCACTGATACTAAAGGAGCCGCTACTGCAATGCATGCTCAACTAGTACCTATCTGTGGACGAGGCAAATCGCAAAAGGCCAATTAGAGGAGTGGAGCTTTAAGTGGCGAGTCTCTTCCTCAGTGGCTGCAGAACTACTCACAAGTCTCTTGCGAAACGTTGAACCAAATGAGGTTTCGGCGAACGCCTGCGAAGCGTCGGCATACACCACTTCGTCATGTCATCGTGCCACCCCTGAAGCTGGGAGGTATCATGGTCTTGGTCTGCGCTCCTCCCTGCACAGGTGGGCCTTGTGTCTTCGAACTCGAAGACGCGACATGGTCATCCAAACATCTGGTGAAAAAGGCCTATTGACAGGTCCCACTTCTCTGTCAAGCCCACGAACAGCTTACCTGTGCTGCCTCCAAGGCGTCCCGAAGCGTACCGGTCGGGGAAGAATCCAATGCTGTCATGGCTTGGTGCGCATTCAGCTGATGCGTCAATGCGTCATACTGCACGGACACTGGCAAAGCCCAGCAGTGGCCGCTTCGGTGCACTTCCTTCCGATTTCATGCGGGTCACGGAACATTCCAGTAAAACATTCCCACCAAGTGACCCTTCTGGGCGGCGTAGCTGGTCAGAAGGACATGTGGCCACGAGCGTGACACTCTTGTGGGCAGCGCTCCTGGATCCAAGAAGGCTTTTTGAAGTTGAAACCTCGTTAAAGGAGCTCGTTCAAGGGGAGACAACGCAAATCGAGCCCCAGCCTGCCCCCCTCGACCCCTGCTCCAATGCTTGCCTGACATACTGTAAAGGCGGGCAGGGGGGGGGGGGGGGGAAGCATGCCGCAATGTTCCTTTCCGCATGAGGATTGGGTGATGGGGGGGGGGGGGGGGGGGCATTCTCATCGAGACAGCTAATCGCAAAAAAAAGGCCCCCTGGCTCTTGAACGACCTCAGGCCCCCGCCCCCTTCAACCGTCCAAACCCTGGAACCCTCCACTCTAACCCCCCTCCGTCGGCCTTCCACTACTCCCCTCCAAAAACTAACTTTCGTACTGCTCCTTGTTATGTATTGGCCGTCTGTGACACCCACCTCTTTCATCCTCGTTTGCCCCCCCTTCTCAACCCTCCACTTGCTGCTCTTCGGCTACCCATCCCCTACTTCTAAACCCCCTCGCAGTGGTGCCTGAGTCATTTGTGAAACGTACAGCTCGCAACAGGTGACACCTCAATGGTAGGACAGAGAGCTGAAAAATGGAAGCAAACGCGTGATTCTCTTCTTGGGGGACTGGGCTTCTCACTTTGAGCTAGGTGCGCAAGATGGGCAACTTGCAGCGCGCCTTAAAGTGTCTGTACCCCGATGCCTTGACCGCATCCTTGAGACTCGAAGGCCGTTGATGGAATTGCGGGCCATGCGTCAATCCCGAAGACCCGAATGAGTCTGGTTGTACACAGGTCCGTGATCCAGTACAGTTTAATGGAAGAGGAAGTTCTGAAACCTGCGTGTCGTTTGAGCCACAAATTGACAAAAGTCCTGGGAAGAGCTACCCCTCGCAGGGAATGTGGGAAGAGTGCTCCGGTGGTGGCTGTGCTTTCGAGGGCACGGATCGGGGTAGAGATGTCAATGATAGTACGGGCCAAAGTGATGATGAAGTGGTAGATGGCTCAAACGCCTGCCAAGTGGCTGCGGAAGAAGTCGAGGCACATGCAGAGGCTCATGTCAGTCATGTCTGTGAGAGTGAGACAAAGGAGGGTGAGAGTGAAATTGAGAGTGGGAGTGAGCCGGTTTCTAGTTTTACATGTCAGTTCTGCAAAAGCAAGTTGATTGTGCCTGCGGTTTGTCGAGCGTGTGGACTGCTTCAGTCTGAACTTAATCACAGGTCTAGAATGGACGTGCTAACAGATGAGATCAACGCTAGACCAAACGAGATGCTCAGGAACCGAAGATCCACGTTCGACGGCGATCACATCTTCTGTAACAGCACTTGCTTTCAAAAGATCGTGTTCTCTGACCCCTGCGCCAATCTGCGCCACATGCATCGCTTCTTTTGGAACTGCGGCTGGATGGAAACTTTCAGATACCCGACTGCCAGCATCTGCCTAGGTGTGGATCGTGGTCGCATCCATCTATTCGAACCTATTCTATTAACACTGTGTCTCTTCAACTGTCTCAGGCGCATTCGGATCGTCCACAAAGAGCCACACGAAGACTCAGGCTTGCGCCTGGATGCGACATATTAGGAAAACAGGTGGTCATTGTGAAGACATGGTTTGCGGAGTAGAGGGGTCATCTAGCTAGGCTTGCAGGAACTATTTGTATGGATGTGCGACATCCGCTGGCCACACCTCATCTGCCTCCTTCGCCACTGGTGACACCACAGGCGCCTCGCAAGCATGCCGGAAATTCGGCACACAATGGAATCTCAGTGGGTCCGCCTCAACCTTGGCTGCTCGCAGTCATGCTTGTGTACAATCAAGTTTGACAGGCCTTGTCTTTCGAAGAGGGCTCTCCGACCTGCACGGGGCGACTTCGAGATTGAACCCACGCCGAATGATGAACTGTCTGCCCTGCTGGCACCTGCCTGTTGCTGTGCCTCTCGTGCGTTTTTTTGCACTTCAGGAAACTCGCGGCTCTATGACCTTTTATGATGACAATGCACAGGTGCTGCAACTTGCGAAGCTGCTTGCAAAAGAGGTGGCATTGGATTGCATTTCTGCTCTGGCAAATGCACGTCGTGTCTTCAGCCCTTTGATGCGTAGTTTGTTGTTCCAAAAGATTGCGAGGTTACACTACTTCAGTGCAAGCTGTCTGAAAAAGGGTCCACAAGCTACGTGTACAGCCCTGTCACAGCACCCGAGCCCCAACTGAGAGTTAACAGCGGACGTCATCTACATCCGAGTCTTGTGAAGTGCACGCAGGCGATCCATGCCATGCAGTCTAATCAGAACTCTCACCTTCAGCCCTTAACCAGCTCAGATAGGCAGCGGAATGGGACAAAGCATGGTAGCCGCAAGACACACGCACCGACGATCAGTCGAGCTTACCTGACTTGCACAGCACTTCGCTTCATCTATTTCTGAAACACCTGGACTTGCCTCCTGCTTCGGGCGGGCAATTCAAGCAACGAAAGCGATTCTGTTTGCTGGAAACTAGAAAGCAAAAAGGCAAGCCAGCCTCTGTCTTTGGGACCGACTCCTTGTCCAGCTGCAGCATGTCCTCCGGCATAGTTTGGATTGCACTGCTAAAGTCTGTTAAAGCTTGCTTGGAACTGCTGCTGTTGCCTGTCCTTGCAAGTCTGCCGGAGCTGCAGCACTTCTGCCAGCAGGCCTTCTGCACCAGCCAGCTGTAGGCCCTGAACAAGACCGGCATTCTACGGCATCACCTAGCTTGCATTGTCGACGACAGGCAGCACATTCCAAACACGAACTCCGTGGGCCTCTTTGGGGCACTGCGATTCAGCTGCTGCCAGAAGGGCCTCCAATTGCGAGATGAACCTGTCAACATCGACCAAAGCTTCCCGTAGCAATCAGCAACCACGTTCGGCAACTCTCGGCGGGCAATCAGAAACGCAAGTTTGCTTTGAGCCACAAGAAGTTGCACCTCAAAGCACCGCTCTTCTCATCGATGCTGACCTCAACAGCTGCCGTCGTCCCGCTTTAGGCAGTTTCTCTTGCACTTCTTGTAGGCATCATGTTTAATCGTCAATGGCTCTTTGACATCAGCAGTCTGGCTTTAACTCTGGCCTCTGGAAAGCAGCATATGGTCCCTTCATGTGCCTTGATGCTCGCGTCTTCCTGTGTATTTGCTTGTTCTTCGAGTTCTTTGACGAACTCATGAGCTAGCGGCTGACCCTTGCAGCGGACACCCTATCCGCATCTGCGAGCATCCATGTTCAGAAGACTGGAAAGTCGGGAACTTGTGTCGATGTTTCTCGCCGAACAGTCGATGTTTTGTCGGCATTGTTGGATTAGGATGCCAGGCTTGCTGCGCAGATGCTGATTGCTTGTGTATGCTTGTGTGCGGTGCATTGTGGGAGCTGCTCTTCATCGCGTGCACCTTGCACATTCTCTCGTGGTGAAGCTTGATGTTCTAAATTCGCCTCGGCTTCCTGCCGACAACCGTCTGGAACAAGCAGAAGCGGATCGGGCCTCCTTCCCTCTGCCCTTCCCCCCATGCAAAATTTGTGACGCCACCCCATTGATTGGAGGGCTGGAAACCGATGCTGCCCCCCTCCCCCCTCCCCCGTTCCCCCGTTCCCCCTCCCCCGTCCCCCCTCCCCCCCCCCCCCCCTCCCCCCCCCCCCTCACCCCCCCCCCCCCCACCCCCCCCGCCCTTCCTCCCTTTTCTTCTGAAACCCTCTTTCCCCTTTCGGGCCGGCCCGCCTGCCGAGGCGGCGCGCGCAAGCGTTTAGGATTTTAGGATAGTGCACAGTCTTGGCAGCTCATCCCTCACAGCCCAACGTCAACACATGTGCCTTACGGCTATAAGGCCTTAAGGTGCATGCACTTTATCCCTTGTGGTGTGAATTGGCTAGGGTGATAAGCATGGTCAAGCCGAAGGTTGCCAGGAGTACTCCCACCGTGCATCGCTAAACAAGGCGTCCCACTTCTCCCACGTGAAGGGAGAACGAGCGCCCAGGACAAAGTGCAAAAGCAGAGGAGGTTACGTCACCACCAGAAAAAAAGGCACGCCTATGCCTGTGCCTCCAGAGTTGCAAAAGTGTGGCAAGGCAACAGAATTCCACAGAATTCATCAGAAGCTGCAGCGCTCCCCGCCGATGCCCACACGCACGAACGACAGCTGTGGACACGAAATCGTTGCAGACCATGATGCTCATGTTGCTCATCACTGCGCACCTACGCCTGCCATCCAGATGAATGCGATCTTTGGAAAGCGGACGATAAATGTGTCAAGAATTTCCTCATCCTGTTCTCTCAGAAGAAAAACTTCAGGAAGTCGAGTCGTGAGTGGGTCGGGGAATGCACGCAGTATCTTCTGAATCCTCATCGATTCAGTTTACGAGTGGGCGGTTTTGGGGGCTCATCAATTTCGACTCGTCGATCGTTTCTAAGTCGCGGAGCGTTTGTACGAAATCAAGCTGTGTCCATGTGATGCCACTTGTTCTCTGTATTCGCGGGCACTGGTTGCAGCAAGCTCCATTCAACAAGTGCTAAGATGTGCTAAGTTCACAGCCACTGTAGCAGCACGCAATTCAGGCACTTCCTGCAGCAAGTCACTGCAAGTTGCTCCAGAAGTAACGGCGTAGATGTGTGTAGCAAAAGGCGCAAGGACATTTACACTTCCCTCCTTGGCCGCAGTTTCACCTCCTGAGGGGTCTGAGGCACGTGGTGGCGGACTCAAGGGCGAGAGCACTGGCAGTGGCAAAGGTGGAGGATTCGCTTCACAGCGAGATCGAATGGTGATGAGCTCGACTTGTTTGTCCTCAGCAAAGGCAAGGTGGTCCACAAACCTCATTAGAGCCAACAAATGGTGCCCAATCCTGCGCCAATGCATTGCATAGCGAATGGGCCCTGCTAGACTCTGAGCGTTCGTATCTCGTGGCAGCCTGAGAGCAGCCCCCATGCTTCAGTGAAGGGTTGGCCACAACCCTAAGAGCAGCCCCCATGCTTCAGTGAAGGGTTGGCCACAACCCTTCACTGAGAGCAGGTCTCATGCTTCAGTGAAGGGTTGGCCACAACACTTCACTGAGAGCAGCCCCCATGCTTCGGTGAAGGGTTGGCCACAACCCTTCACTGAGAGCAGCCCCCATGCTTCAGTGAAGGGTTGGCCACAACCCTTCACTGAAAGCAGCCCCCATGCTTCAGTGAAGGGTTGGCCACGACCCTTCACTGAGAGCAGCCCCCATGCTTCAGTGAAGGGTTGGCCACAACCCTTCACTGAGAGCAGCCCCCATGCTTCAGTGAAGGGTTGGCCACAACCCTTCACTGAGAGCAGCCCCCATGCTTCAGTGAAGGGTTAGCCCCCATGCTTCAGTGAAGGATTGGCCACAACCCTTCACTGAGAGCAGCCCCATGCTTCAGTGAAGGGTTGGCCACACAACCCTTCACTGAGAGCAGCCCCCATGCTTCAGTGAAGGGTTGGCCACACAACCCTTCAGTAAGAGCAGCCCCCATGCTTCAGTGAAGGGTTGGCCACAACCCTTCACTGAGAGCAGCCCCCATGCTTCAGTGAAGGGTTGGCCACAACCCTTCACTGAGAGCAGCCCCCATGCTTCAGTGAAGGGTTGGCCACAACCCTTCACTGAGAGCAGCCCCCATGCTTCAGTGAAGGGTTGGCCACAACCCTTCACTGAGAGCAGCCCCCATGCTTCAGTGAAGGGTTGGCCACCCTTCACTGAGAGCAGCCCCCATGCTTCAGTCAAGGGTTGGCCACAACCCTTCACTGAGAGCAGCCCCCATGCTTCCGTGAAGGGTTGGCCACAACCCTTCAGTAAGAGCAGCCCCCATGCTTCAGTGAAGGGTTGGCCACAACCCTTCACTGAGAGCAGCCCCCATGCTTCAGTGAAGGGTTGGCCACAACCCTTCACTGAGAGCAGCCCCCATGCTTCAGTGAAGGGTTGGCCACAACCCTTCGCTGAGAGCAGCCCACATGCTTCATTGAAGGGTTGGCCACAACCCTTCACGGAGAGCAGCCCCCATGCTTCAGTGAAGGGTTGGCCACGACCCTTCACTGAGAGCAGCCCCCATGCTTCAGTGAAGGGTTGGCCACAACCCTTCACTGAGAGCAGCCCCCATGCTTCAGTGAAGGGTTGGCCACAACCCTTCACTGAGAGCAGCCCCCATGCTTCAGTGAAGGGTTGGCCACGACACTTCACTGAGAGCAGCCCCCATGCTTCAGTGAAGGGTTGGCCGCAACCCTTCACTGAGAGCAGCCCCCATGCTTCAGTGAAGGGTTGGCCACACAACCCTTCACTGAGAGCAGCCCCCATGCTTCAGTGAAGGGTTGGCCACACAACCCTTCACTGAGAGCAGCCCCCATGCTTCAGTGAAGGGTTGGCCACAACACTTCACTGAGAGCAGCCCCCATGCTTCGGTGAAGGGTTGGCCACAACCCTTCACTGAGAGCAGCCCCCATGGCCAACCCTTCACTGAGAGCAGCCCCCATGCTTCAGTGAAGGGTTGGCCACAACCCTTCACTGAGAGCAGATCCCATGCTTCAGTGCAGGGTTGGCCACAACCCTTCACTGAGAGCAGCCCCCATGCTTCAGTGAAGGGTTGGCGACAACCCGTCACTGAGAGCAGCCCCCATGCTTCAGTGAAAGGTTGGCCACAACCCTTCACTGAGAGCAGCCCCCATGTGGCCACAACCCTCATCTGAGAGCAGCCCCCATGCTTCATGAAGGGTTGGCCACAACCCTCATCTGAGAGCAGCCCCCATGCTTTGGTGAAAAGTTGGCCACGACCCTTCACTGAGAGCAGTGAAGGGTTGGCCACACAACCCTTCACTGAGAGCAGCCCCCATGCTTCAGTGAAGGGTTGGCCACACAACCCTTCACTGAGAGCAGCCCCCATGCTTCAGTGAAGGGTTGGCCACACAACCCTTCACTGAGAGCAGCCCCCATGCTTCAGTGAAGGGTTGGCCACACAACCCTTCACTGAGAGCAGCCCCCATGCTTCAGTGAAGGGTTGGCCACACAACCCTTCACTGAGAGCAGCCCCCATGCTTCAGTGAAGGGTTGGCCACACAACCCTTCACTGAGAGCAGCCCCCATGCTTCAGTGAAGGGTTGGCCACACAACCCTTCACTGAGAGCAGCCCCCATGCTTCAGTGAAGGGTTGGCCACAACCCTTCACTGAGAGCAGCCCCCATGCTTCAGTGAAGGGTGTTCCACACAACCCTTCACTGAGAGCAGCCCCCATGCTTCAGTGAAGGGTTCGCCACATCCCTTCACTGAGAGCTTCAGTGAAAGGTTGGCCACAACCTTCTGTGAAGGGTTAGCCACAACTCGCCCTTCACTGAGAGCAGCCCCGGTGCTTCAGTGAAGGGTTAGCCAAAACCCTTGACTGAGAGCAGCCCCCGTGCTTCAGTGACTTTGCAAGCAGATATTGCCCAAGTGGCTGTCCACCAGCTGTAACTGTTGTCAAACTCGAAGATAATTTCTTCCAGCTGGGAGAGCTTACCACCTTCGACATGTTCAGTATGGTATCTTGAATTGCCGTTCTGTGAGAAGCAAGGAGGGAGTGCCTTGCTGAAGGAAACGGGGGTCTTCTGCTGGCACGAAGCGGCCCTGAAACGTGCGACCGCTGCCCTTCTGCTGCAACCAATGCATCGTGGGAGGCTCGGTCCCTTCCTCAGGCCTGACAGACTACGGAGTCAAAGATACGGAGTGCAGCCGGCCAACTGTGAATCCTCTGTACTCTGCTGGCCAATCTCTCAGTGCAGGGGAGCAGCTTCAGCAGCACAGAAATTTCCAAGTCCACAGTCTTCTCGTCAAGCACAATGGCATGCCAATCCTTTATGTGACAGCGCCTGTTCAGAGACTGCCTGCAAGAGATTCATGATATATGCTTCCAAGAAGCCAAACCGCCCAGCACAATGGAGCGCATGCTGCCATCCCCGCTGTCTTCTTCCCAACTGCAAGGGATTTTGTGCAGCAGCCTTCCGACAAAACCACACCCTGAGGTCTGATCGGAATATCTCCAACTTTCGAAGTTACCGGATGGGTCACCGACGCACCACTCCATTCGTTTTCCACACGCCAAATCAACAACTCCGAAAATACTTCCAGAAGGGTTTATGGAGGCACGAGAGGATGGTGCTCGGGCACCTCTACGTGCACAGAAAAAGCTGAAAATGTAGGGAGTGATGCATCGGCAAATGCAAAACCAGACTGGTGTAAATGCATAGGCGGACTGCGAAGAGGAGAAGTTTGGCTGGTGGTGGAAAACAAGCTGGAAAAGAAACGCACAAGTTCACAAGCAAACGCTTTTGCGAACCGCTGCATCACTTGCGTTCGGGCGATGACTCTCTGATCAGGCTAAGGAAGGCGAGGTACCCGGTCCCTTCAGGCGCCCACGCTTGCCATTCCGCCGGGGCCCACAAAAGAAGAGCTCAACGTGAGGGGACCTTCCGGGGGCCTCCCGTCCCGCTGAAGGAAACGAACCTCCTATTAACCGCATGCTTTTAACTACTGGCAATTAGCACTCGGGGACTTGACTGCTGCAGCCACTGCCTGCGACTCGGCTCAAATGCGCAAGTGCTCAAGATCCTGAGATCACTTCGTGCCTGACTTTGTTGAGATGTGGATCACTGAGCTTTTCAGGTTTGCCTGGTACATCGGACCACCAGGGGAGCGTCCTCCCACGGCAAGCCTCAAAACCGATCGTCAAGGACGTGGTGCCAGGTTTGAGGCACTCTTTTTGGCACTCCTCACAAAAAATATTAATTTGCCAGTAACGCTCAGACTCGCCTTCAAGCTCGTTGACAGTTCAAGGGTTGACACACAAAACAAAGCGCCTCCCCTTGTGCAGAGCATGGAAGGCCTCCGACTCAACTGGTGTAAAACTGTAAAAAGGAATGGTGGGAAGTTGCAAGGGCTCTTTCACGCTGTTTGGGCTCCTTGGAAGGATTCGTTGAAAATAGTTGAATTGGTCAGGAGGATTCTGTTCACAGCTTCAGGTTCTAAGTGAATTGACGAGCTTGTTCATCACATTTTCATGTCGCGGATGCGATCAGCAGCTCGACTTTCTCGACTTGCACCCTTGGCACTCGTTCTTGGCCAATGAATGCGCGGATCTCAAGACTCACCCTGCAAGAGATGGCTGTCACCACCAATGTCAAAAGGCCAATCAATGTCAACAAGGCAATGGTATCGAAATCGCCGTTGCCCATGCGTTGCAAGTCTTCGTCCAAAAGGCTCCGACTTCCCCTCCAGCGCTAAAACTCGTAAGCCGCCAAGCCGGAACAAGTAGGGGGAGGGGGTGAGAAAAAGAGGCGAGTCAGTGAAGAACAGCTAACAGCTAACTCAAAGGGTCTGCACAGGTGGCTTGGACATGCAGCCTTTGCCCAGCAAGGACTGTCAAGCAAGTGCGCTCGGCCATGGCCAAGTACCAGAATCAATGATGAAACTCGAGAAGTGGAGATTAACAATGCGACGCTTGGGCATGGTAATGAACATGAGACTCGCATTCGTCTTGTAGCAAGTCCCACGCTTGCTTCTGTAGCTACTAGAACCTGATGGGAGCCAGAGATGTGTTGATTTGTTCGACGCATGCAAGATGGCACGCAGAACGCAAACAAACCATTCCGACGCTTGCCAAAGCCGTTTTTGCAACGAAGGACACACCATCGTCCTAGTCCAGATGTTGGAAACTTTGGCAATCTGCATTGGACGATGGCGCATGGAACGCTTCAAGAGAATTGGCTGCAGTTGCAGTTGGAGCCCATGGGGGAACGGCAAAAGCAAAACATGCAAAACAACTAGACATCTCTGAGCAGTCTCAGACGTCTCATAAGAGCATCTCAATGCTAAGCATCCCAAGTGGGCTCCAGCTGCCAGATGCACATTGGAAGTCACAGGACCTCCGTGATCAAAACTAAGGCGCTCTTCGAAGAAGTAGCGCTATGTAGCGCTGAATCATTGCGAGCTGCGAGCTGCAGGGCAAGTTTTCGAACCCGTCAGCTTGCCTCAGCTACCAGAACTTCCGCCAAATGCGATGAGCTCAGGGTGCACTGGGCGCACCACCGTTCCCATTGGGCAGAGTGGACGAGCCTCGGAATTCGGGCTATCCTTGTAGCGAGTTGGCTCGTGGCAGCTTTGTGCAAAGATGTCTGCCTTTTGACTTTCAGCCTGTGTCAACCCTCTTCCAGCAAGGTTACCACGGCTCGCTGCCGGTGGTTCTCGTACAATGGGGTGTTGATATTCGTTTTGATCTTGCCTGGCAGCGTCAAGCTTACCCATGCACACCTCTTGTTTGATATTGAGTATACTGAGACACATGGTCCGCATGGGAGTCGAGGATGCATGCTGCCAAACATTTAGAAACATATGCTTGTACGAATGGCTGAGCCTCGCCCCAGACTTGCTACGTACGCATGTGAATAGACAAGCAGTTGCTGCGCTCTTTCACCCGTGCTTTGAGCGTCCCTGCCCAATGCCCTCGCCTTCCATCTCTGGATGGAGATTGCCCAACTCGATAACTTTCTCAGTGATAGAGGAGGTATCATAACCTGCGCAGGCAGTGCAGCTAGGAGCCTGTTCAGCCTCCGGCAAAGGTAGTTAAACTGAGCATGGAAACCACGAGTCAACACCCCTGCCCTTGGCATAAGCCCCAAACCTGTGGAGCGCACACACACACACACACACACACACACACACACACACACGCACGCACGCACACGCACGCACGCACGCACGCACGCACGCACGCACGCACGCACGCACGCACGCACGCACGCACGCACGCACGCACGCACGCACGCACGCACGCACGCACGCACGCACGCACGCACGCACGCACGCACGCACGCACGCACGCACGCAAATCAACGCACCCACACAAGCACGCACGCGCAAGAACGAGCCACCGCGCGTACTCGCAAGAACGCGCAAGCGCGCGCACTCGCACCCGCACCACACGCACACCTGCACACCCGCACACCCGCACATCCGCACACCCGCACACCCGCACACCCCCACACCTCCACGCCCCCACACCCCCACGCCCCCATGCCCACACTAACACATCTATCACACATCTATCACACACTACCACACACTACCACACACTACCACACACTACCACACACTACCACACACTACCACACACTACCACACACTACCACACACTTATCACACACACGCACACACACACACACACACACACACACACACACACACACACACGTAACACACACGTATCACACACTTATCACGCACTATCACACAATTATCACACACACACACACACACGTAGCACACACCTATCACACACTGATCACACACACACACACGTATCACACACGTATCACACACTATCACACAGGTCTCTCACACACGTCTCTCACACACCTACCACACACCTATCACACACTATCACGCACTATCACACTATCACACACACTACCACACACATTATCACACACTATCACACTCTATCACACACTGTCACACACTATCACACACATTATCACACACTATCACACACATTATCACACACTATCACACACTATCTCACACTATCACACACTATCACACACCACCACACACTATCGCACACCACCACACACTATCGCACACGATCAACATTATCACACAATATCACGCACTATCACACACACACACACACACACCCACACACTATCACACACTATCACACACCTGTCACACACCTGTCACACACCTGTCACACACTATCACACACTTATCACACACACACACACACACACACACACACACGTATCACACACACACACACACGTATCACACACGTATCACACACGTATCACACACGTATCACACACGTATCGCACACTTATCACACACCTATCACACACCTATCACACACTATCACACACTTCTCTCTCTCTCTCACACACACACACTTCTAACACACTTCTCACACACCTATAACACACCTATCACACACTATCACACACTATCACACACTATCGCACACTATCACACACTAACACACTATCACACACTATCACACACTTATCACACACTATCACACACTATCACACACTACCCTACACTATCACACGCTACCACACGCCATCACACACTATCACACACTATCATAAACCCCACATGCAAACGCGCCGTGGCTTCGGTTCTTTCACCCGTTGCCTTGATGGTAAGCATGCTCCCATGTACCACAACATCCATCGCGGTGCGTTCCGCAGCGCCCGAAGCGAGGAGTCAAGTTGCCTGAGTATGTGGAAACATGTAGGCGCCGTGCCGAAGTCTGGATCCTGAAATCAGACCCACACCGCTGCGTTTGCAACACTTTCCCATTGTCTATCAGGAAAGCTCAGATGCTGCCGGTACACAAAGGAAACCCAGCTTTAGACTTCATGTCCATTCCACTCAGCCAGGTGTTAGCAAAGCTGCGTTCCAGAAGTGCAGTACCCATGCGAAGGCCAAGTCCAGTGCGAATATTTTGCGACCTTAGCTCGAACTTCACGTGCGAAACGCATCCCATGTATGTGGAAGTATGCCATGTGTTTGTGGTACACACGGCTTTATGGGTGACGCTGGAAGGATTTTCTTCGTTGAAGGCCGAGACGGGTGACGCCGAAGGGATGCTAGTTGAACGTTGTTTCTGGTGCTTTTTCACCATTGAAATGGGCAGTCTTGAGTGATGCGGCAGGTATTGGACGCAAAAGAAGCTTGTAGCTCAACTATTAACACCGTGCCGTGCCACAGGGGTAGGGATCAACAAACAAAACTAAAAAACTTCCTACGTACTACTTCGAGCCAAAACGGATCCAAAAAATTGGTTGCTCTCCCCCCCCCCCCCCACATGATCCAAGCAGTCAGTCTTGGGATGGGCGAGGCGCAAGATATGGCTTACAGCCCTCTCGTTTACGAAGAAGTCTTGAACAGCTCGGAAGTTGACCCTTAGTTCCCTTAGTTTTCTGGTTGGAGAATGTGCTGCGCAGGCCGTAACATGCGAAAAACAAATTGGCAACCCGTATGTTTCGGGTTTTCCTTTGGGTAAACGATGGAAAACGCTGGACGCCGGTCGTAACATGCGAGAACACACATTCCGTGACCGGCATATTTGGGAACATGCATCACACAGCCGTAAAGCGAAAAAAAACGCAGTTCGCAACCAGCCCATTTTGGGTTTTTGTCGGGGAAAACGTGGCAGGCTGCATGAGCAAGAAGATTTTGGGCGACCTCTTGCTGCATCGTGCCAGCCTCGAGTGTTGTCGTCTGTCCTCTTAGGTTCCTGAAACCAGCGACTCATCACAGTCGGAGACTGCGAGTGCACACAAGCGCAAGAAGGAAGCAGATAAAGTCGTGAAATGGTGCATGAAGTGAAAAAGCTATGTGATCACTGCAGCTTTGACTGATCGTGTTCAAGCAGAGAGACTCAACCACGAGAACGAAATTTGAGCGGCCGATGATGCTCATGACCCGCTCGTCCACTGCATTCACGTGCCATTTATTGACTAATCCAATGTTGACACCCAGGTTTCGCAGTCGCTGAACAGCATCCAAAGATCGGTACAGGCCGTCGCCATATGAAACAATGTAGCCGTCACAAGATTCTCCACCAAGGACAATGTCATCGGTGCCCAACTTGAGAGTGTAGTCTCCGTAAAACGGATGGCCTTCCTCGTTCAGTATGTCCGGCACCTTAGGTGCTCGACACTGAGCCCGCAGGTGTTGTGGAGCAGGTGTTGTTGCAATTCCTCCACTTTTGCATGTTTGATAGTCGAAATGAAATGCGGAACAAACATCAATCGCCACACCAAGCTTGAGCGTGATCTTCTCCGGTTGCAATTACAGTGAAATGTCTCCGGGACTTGTGCTTGCGCACGCTGAAGCGACACAGCGGCGCTCCAGCCAAACAAGACAAGCTGTGGTGGCCTTTTTCCTTCGCACATGCATCACTGATTTGCCTGCGTCTGCTTGCAGCGATTCGGGCGCATGTAACACAAAAGAATACTGGCCGAGATTGAAAACAAAAATGTGATGTGATTGTCTTTCGAAAGCAGTTTGGCACAGTTATCATCATTCTTTGTTTCATCGGTTTTGCGAGATGCACGTTCATTGAATCATATAATGTCTGTGTATCGGTGTATCACCGCGTATAGGTACAAGGGTTTATGTCTCACTAATCAACCACCACATGGCCACAACCGTCAATGTGGCACCTTGGATCGCGTGGTGTAGATGAATCGCAGACCTTCCTTCCAAAAGACCGCTTCCACCAACTTGGCCGTTTGATGAACGTCGGCAGGAAAGAAAAGGTGGGTGTCATGGCAAGTCTCACTTTGGAGACCATTGTCGGCAAAGAAATTGTTCAGGCCAAAGTGACAAGTGTTGTCCTCAGCTGGCAGCTTTGAGCATTTCCAGAAGATACACCCCAATGACCCTCATCGCATGGCAATAGGACTTCGACAAGCATCCGACATGTCGTCTACACCGCTATGGCTGAAGTGGCACAAAACATTGCAGTGGTTCAGCCGGGCCATGGTCACCTGCGAGACGGTGCTTCTTCGGCGTGATGAAAACCAGTTGCCGCAAGTTGTCGGTATTGTGTCTAGACAAGGAACCTCACTGACGCATTGTCGCTACCTCCGCACCATGGCCGCTCCCAATGACGTCCCCTGCCCCTACCCCCTGCCCCTACCCCCTGCCCCCACCTGTTTAAGCCTCTTCGAACGTGAAGCCTCTGATTGTCTCTGGGCCGGCATCACCGCCCTCAGTCCCCCCAAGTACCTTGCTAGTCCGTTCAAGTAAATTTTAAGGGCTCCTCCAGCACATCGCCCTCGCCGCCCTCACTCCGTGCACGGTTTATGTAAAGGGCTCCAGCGCAGCCCCAAACCCTCCGAGGAAAACTGAAGCATCATATTCACTCAAACAAGACGATACCAAAAACATCAATCTCGAAGATTGGAACAGGTGCTTGATCCTTTTCCTGCCCTTGTCTTTACTCTTCCTGAATTCTTCCTGAAGTTCCTGAAGTTGAAAAATTTCACCCCTGACCTCGCTCAGAATCATCTCCTGGAAGGCTGCAAATGTGCCGAATACAGCTTGGCGCTTGCCACGGAAGGCAAACCCAGCGCAAGCACTGAAGTTGCCACGTTCCATAACCCCACCCTTCAGATAGACCTCAGGATAGGTCTCTCGCACCTCAGGCGCCCAAAGATGGAAATGAAGGGCCTGGCCTCAACCTAGCCTCAATGGCCTGCATACTATCTGATACTGTCTTTGGAGCCGAGGCCTTCTTCAGCCCGCATGAACCTTCCAGATCGCTGTCCACCACCAGGACGCTTGACCGTCTTTCATCATCAGAACCCAAGTGGCCAAGAACTCGAACTACAGTCTCCTCACGTTTGGCGTTTTTGTTGACTGAACATGACTTCATGGCAATGACTTCATGGCAATGTCATGTGTCTAGTGCTCGTTGTTGGCAGCCCAGTCACGCCGAAAACCTGGCGTGGTGCACCAAATTTGCCGCAGCCCCAGAAGTTCCTGTCTCAATTTCCAGAGCTTTTCCAATGGGCAGCACTCGAACAAGCTGAGTGGTCACCTCCTTTCTGGAAACTATGAAGCTTGCTGGAAGACTGAGCATTCATGAGTCGCCAGGTGTGACTGTCGTGGCTTCGTCAAAAACAGCATCCAGGCTCTTGTTTGTTACTGCGCGAACAAACTAAACCTAGATTTCGAGGGGCTGATGAGGATCGCATGTCTTGGGCACATTCTTCAGCATCTCGACAGCTTTGTCGTAGCCCCGAGATCCCAAGTAGTCGACCTTGACAGAGACAGAAACGGAGCAGCCAAAACAATACAAATCGAAATTGCACGCGCGACGGGGACAAATGTCTGCCCCTCATACACCTCTTCGACCAGCACTGAAGAGGGAGAACCAACGGCAGACAATCCCGCCCAAACATCCCAGAGTCTTTCGCACACTTCATCAGATTTGGTTTGTCTTTGTCGTCACATTTCATAGTTCCAAGCACGCACGCATAGCAATTTCCTCACTTCACCATACGCTTTAAGCCGAACTTCAGCCGTTGAACCCTGCCGTGCCCATACCTTCAATGGCTGAGCACAGCAGGTGTCTGTCTAGCGGCTGGCGTTTGCTTGTGCAAATTTGTTTAGATGGGAGGGAGGGGGGAGGAGATCCCATGAGGCGACATGTATGGACCGTAAGAGGTAAGAGTGTTTTTTCTTTTGCTGTGCCGGCCTTTTGCTGTGGAATCCTTGCGCGTTTTTTTTGCTGTGGAGGCCTTCCGCGCTTGTTTTTTTGCTGTGGAGGCCTTGCGCGCTTTTTTTGCTGTGGAGGCCTTCCGCATTTCTTTTTTGCTGTGGAGGCCTTGTTGCGCGTTTTTTTGTTGCTGTGGAAGCATTGCGCGTTTTTTGCAAACACAAAGCTCGTACGATGGGTTTCAACAAAATTCATATTCTTTGAAGCACGCTTGCACGACTTTAAAAACAAGCGGGGGTCCCCCCCCCTTTTGCAAACACAATGCTCGTACGATGGGTTTCACTCGAACTCGAACTCGATTCCGCAGCGGTCTGGTCTGACCTACTAGCTAGCTGTAACTCACGACTTGTTGTCGCGGCCGCTCAGTGGCGGCGATTAACAGCTTCGGGTATGGACAGCAAGAGACGTCCCGCAGGAACCGGAGTTCAACTAGACTGCAGGCAAAACGGTCTCAAGCGCAACAGAGCTTACTCTGACCTACCGTGAACAGGAAAGAGGCACGCAGCCACTCAAACACTAAAGGACAGCATATGTACAGGGGCAAGGGTGTGCCACTAACCTCCGGGGGCCGTACCTGAGACGGCTCCCCCGTGCTAAGGGGACATCGCATGATGTCACTGATATTGCGATTGGTGGAAAAGGTGTACTTGGTACACTAGAGTCACTAGAGAAGCCAGATGTGAACTCTTCCCTTATTTTTGACGCTCCGCAGGCTCTGCAATCAGGCGAACTGGGCATGAGAGACAGATTTCAAGGCGATGTGGCCGAAAGGTCGGCTTCACATGAACTGTCTCTTTACAGTGTGCAAATGAAAAGTGGTTCGGACAGGGTTGCAAGCCTGTCACCCCGTGCACCCAATAAAGGGGCGCACCCCCGCAGTAGAAAGAAAAAGGCGGCACTCATCATCAGGCCAATCCACTCACCCCAGCGGGGGGCCTGCGGATACAGCCAAGCACATAACAGTTGGACTGGATTTCGGGACTTATGGCATCAAGCCTTTCCGATGTGACACCGTCGTCCATACACCAGGCATCTGACCTGCCCGGTATCAAGCCAACGGTTCTTTAGTGCCCCGTGATAACGGTTTCACATAGATGCACTATAATGGAAACGAGGTCATAGGCAACCCAGTCACAAGCTACGCTGCTATTATTTCTGAAAATCGGTAAGTGGACGCAGCGGTTGTTGAGTGTTAGAGGCGCCCGGGTTTTCCTCGTAACACTGTTGGTCGTGGTGGAGGACAAGGAAAATGTGTGCCGGAGCTACGCATAGCGCATGTGGCTGGGCCTGCAGGTGCCAGTTAAGGATGAGGACATCCAGCTCCCCGTCTTGGATACCTCCAGGCACTGAGAGACGGAGCATTGGCGCAGCAGCCTCCCTGATGTCAACAGTGCACCCTTCATCTACTGCGACTCTGGCCTCCGAGCCTCCGAGACTGTCCGTCCAGGCTAGCTTGGGGATAATGAACTGTGTGAATTCGGCTGCGTCCAGCTAAACATGTACATGCGAAGAAACAGCGCTGCATCCCAGTGGGTTTTGGCAAGTGCCTTCTGCCAAGCATCTGGTATCCGGCTCCCCGGCCTGAGCTGCGCTTGCCACAGGGTGGCAGCCATGACGGAATTGATGTAGCATGTGTTGCCACTATTCTTAAATCTGAGGCGAGAAACACTCGGCACACTCACTGGTGGCCGTACACATCCTGTGGCACTCAAATGTTTTCGATTGCCTTTTGCAGTGCCGTTGCCAGGCCGTGGCGTTGCTGGTTTGGCGGCTGCAGTTGCGCACCCACCACATTCCAAATCGCGCAGTCGGCCAACTGCCGGAGTTTCTGATGCAAGATGTTTGCTCTCGGGTCTCTCATGGCTATCTCGATGAGGAACACTGCTTTGTCTCCTTCCTGGGCTCTTGCTTGGGACGCCTTTGGGCGCAGAACTTGGTGACCAGATCGGGGAGGCAGAGCTCTCCGATCTGATTGATGAGCTCCGTCGCTTCCTCCACTGCCAGGCTCTTTGTTGTCGCCGACGGCTCCACCTTCTTGGTGGCCGAGTTCCACTCCTGGTAGACGAAGCGCTTCTGCTGGTCGAGCCACTGTGCTTCATGCGTTCTCCACCGCCTAGCTGAACTCGTGCCACAACCTCTTTCAGCAGGAGGCTCAATGCGACGATCCTCATCGGGGGGACCTTTTCCCCGTTCTTGTGCTTTTGTTGCCACTCCTGACCGGCCTTGAAGAGCGGCAGCAATATGGTTCCTGGACCTTGTTGCTGGAGGTGAAAGGTGAAGGACGTGTCCAGGCGCAGGCGATTCAGGGCATCCTCCTGCTGCAACGACAGGTTGGCCAGGAGCGTCACCACCGAGTGCCACTTGCCGTTGGTTTCCCCATTGTCCTCGCCGGGCCGCCTTGGGGCGTTTGTTCGGTGCATTCTCGGTTTCTCGATCCATTTCCCTCGGCTGCTTCGAGGTCTCTCTCATGTTCGTTGCAGACCCGGTAGCAGGTTGCCGAAGACGCTCACCACTTCCGTCGCCATGTTCACAATAAAGTCCTATCAGGGCACATTGGAAGATCACATTGCACTGGAAGTAATGTCTGGAGGGGGAGGACCTTTCACACCAAGGACATGTGCCATTGCGAATAAGTCGGGGTTTAGCCTGCGCGCATCGCTCCTCGAGTTTGCCGTTGGCGGTGACGCCCCACACCTCCTTATGAGCCCTTACTATGTGCCTCTTTAGAGCCGTGGGATCAGCAATCCAACGTTTGCAAACACAGCAGTGCTGTTTGAGAGACGACACAATATTCATGTCCAGCAAACTCTTCCAACCCTCGCGATGAACGGCATCAAGGACATGTTTATGCGCGATGGGAGGCGGCTCAACATCTGTGGTTTCCGCTGGAGCACTTGGATTGGTAGTGTGGTCTGGTTCGGGGCCGAACGAGGCTCCCTGCGTAGTGCTTTCTGGATACAAAACTGGGCAATAGCCTTTTTCTATATGCGCTTGTGCTGTCTGAGGCCTGTGATCGCGCGAAATTGCTGACTGCAGCGCAGACAGGTATTTATGTCAGATGACTTATCTGCATGGAGCTGCTCATCCGTACTCACTGATTTAGTGAGTTGATAGCCAACGAGAGCTGCGCCCTGACCTGCGGAAGGGCCCGAATGTCGCTGGGACACTTTGCCACTACAGTCTCAAGTGAGGCGTGCATCTTCTGGCCTTGGCGAGCGAGTGGAGGGAGGGGATCCTCAGCATTCAGGCGCTTCAGGGTCTGCTCATTTGTCACCAGGGGCAGATCTGATGCGCCGGCCTTTCAGCAATGGCCCTCATCTGCCTGGCCGCCATCGCTCTGAGATGCTTTCTGCCCGTGGATCTCACACCCACCGCCAGTAGCCCGTGCGCAGCTGAGCTCCAGACCCCAGCTCTCCAGATTTGATACCTGGGACGATTGTGCGTAACCCTTCTGGAGTTGATGGCTTTGCGCAGCTGGCTGTATTGGCCCCTGGCTTTACGTATGCGTAACTGAACTGTTTTTTCCTGGGCATCCCTGTAGGAAATGACGGTACCTAGGTACTGGTGTGTTTTCCTGGGGGGGATCAGGATCTGCTCACCATGCTGCATAAATGCGAGGTGGGGAAGTTGATCCTTAAAGACTTTGAGTTTTTTCAAAATTCTGACCGCATCTGCCCCTTTTGCGTGGCAAAGCACCACGGATTTGGAGATGCTCTGTTTACTCGTGGCCGCATAGGCTCTCGCTGCTCTCAGGCGCGTGTGCGCTCTCAGTAAGGCATCCAGAACCCCTGCCAGCAGTGTAGGCAAATTGCGGGCGGGTGACCAGCGCCTCCTCAAGCAGTGGGCGGATGTGTTCTCTCAGTATTACACACACCGATTTCGAGAGAGGATGGGAGAGTCCGATTGGGCGAAGCCCTGATGGGCGGCTAGGGTCTTTCTGCGGTTTTGGTAACCACACAAGGTATGTATCTTTCCACACGTGTGGTATGACACATAACGATTCCTCCCCCCAGGACTTGGCAGCATCTGCGCTACCTTGTCACGGCACAGTCTCCACACTGCGGCTGGGGCCGATATTTTCGGCACCCCTTTGCGGTATGGCAATTTTCCGAGCGCCCGCCCATACAAGATCTTGCGCCTTTACTAGAATGGGCTCAGTGATACAATGAGTGGGTGAATAGTCAGCTCCTTGACAAAATTTGTTGCTGCTGTGTTGTATGAGCTCAGCCAGTTGCTCTTTAGGAGTGAGGATTTCCCCACTTTCACTACGCATGTGTGTGCGCGCGAAGGGTTTCCATGGTGCTAACTTCCTAGCGCTCATCCAAACCTTTCTCTGATCGCCCTTAGTAGCCGCAGTTTGCAGTTCATCCGCCACGGATTGGAGCTTTTCTCGGTTAATTTTCTTAGCCGTTTGTTTCATGGCTTTAGAGGCCGCGCGGAATTCGGTGTACTTTCTCCATTTTCGGATAACTTCAATTAAGCTTTCCGCCTTGGTGGATTTGTATTCTTTATACTCGGCCCACATCTCCTTAGCAGTGTGC